CTACAAATGATTTATAATTTATCCAATGCCTAGCATGGTTATATTCAAGGGGCATTTAAACTACATTCTGCCTCTCGCAAACCTATTGGATTAATGGTGTAGTTGACGCTGAGCAGTGTGTGTCACTTATAAAGTGACCTGCAAAAATAGGTCTGTAATTCAGAAGTGCTTGGTATGGTGCAGTCCAAGTCAAATGTTTTGTTTTTTCATAACTATGAGCACTTTTGCAAGGTATAGAGTATAAACCATAATAATAATAATAAAAAAACAACAACTTAAATTAGTACATTACAATATCCTGAAGATGAACAGTAATTAATTTTTATGACCCCCATAATCCAATTATATTTTTCCAGATGGTACACAGTATACTGATATGGTATGTTGGCAACCTTCATAATTCTTGTTAAAAAACAAATCTTATTTATTTCTGTCTCAAAGATTCATACTATTAAAAAGCTAATACTGAACATGTCAGAGCTTCAACAAAAATTGAGAATATTACCAAAACATATCCTAGTTAGATGTTCATAAGATTAATTTCCGAGATCAATACCCCTGTATAATCACCCAACACTTTTTTTTTGTTTCTTACTTATTATGAAGTTAAAATTATTAATATTCTGAGAAAGTTTTCAGTTTATTGGTAATACGAGGTCTTTAATATAAATAAAAAATCTCTAAACCATCTCTAACTACTCTGAGCAAGTTTTACTTTCTGGTGATTAGTCGGTAGCATGAGAATCCTGGTGCAGTTCAAACCACTAAAAACAAAATGAACTTGAAACCAGACATAACTCTTGCTTTGAATGTTGATAAGAATGTCTTTGTTTCCTTTCAAAGATACAAAATATAAACAATGTAGAAAAATAATAAAGTTTAAAATGAAACATTCTTTTTCCTTTAGAACACTACCTTAGCTAAAACAATTTTGTAGCTCTAAGTAAAATATTTTAATATGGAATAAGTATTATGAGGGCAATATTAATTAATATTTCATTAAATAATTATTGCATAACATGATTTTGAAACAATAAATAAATTTATTTGTCTAATTATCACAGAGAACAATTCTGCATAAAATCATCTTATTTCTATGTAATTGCAATGCTTTGAGGCATGATTAAAAATGTTTGTTTCAGTGGTGCCAAATCTCCCTGGTCTTAGAAAGGATCATCTTTTTTTTTTTTTTGTAAACTGTCTTTCCAAGCTACAGTTAAGAGGTTAAAAGCATAGACACAAATCATATTTAGCAAATGCAAAGAGCTGGGGAGTATCAAAAGAAATAATTCATTCTCTATCTCAAACAAGTTATGTTATTAAAAAAAAATTACCCCACTTCCATTTCAGCTCACATTCTAACTTGTGGGCACCAATGATTTGTGTTATCACTATATGAACACCATCTTGTATAGCTAATCTTAACAGTATTGTATGGTTTTTAAGTAAGGATCATAGATGTTTCTCCACTCACTACAGAAGAGCAGCACCTACTGGCAAGAATTTTGTAGAATTAGTAGAGGTTGCCATGATTCTTTTGGTAAAAATTAGATAAATTTCCAGCATGGCACTGTTACATAAATCTGTTTTTCTTTTGTCAAATTAGTACAGAATCATGTAATATTGTCACATAATTTATATTAGTCTAACAGGTAACATGGCTTTTTAGCATGAGTCTGGATATTTGTCTGATTAGTAAGAAATAGCAGAAGAATGTGGTTATGAATCATCACTATTTGTATAATAAATACAGAATAGCATTTCACTGATGCATGAGTTACGGTTATTTAACAGCAAAGATGTGCATGCCCTTGTTCACCTTACTATAATAATAGTAGGGCATTAAATGGATTGTGCTGTGAGTCACTAATATTTGTCTATTCAGTACACATTAACATAGCATTATAACATGAATCACTTATTTATCTCATCAACACAAAACAATATGCATTGTAGTATGAGTCACAATTATTTAACTAATAAATATAGAATGAGAATGGATTGCAACATGAACTACAATAAAGGTAAGAACATAATAGAATACTTACAGATTACTAATATTAAACCAGGCTAAAAGTTTAAAACAGTTGGGCTGTGAAGACAGACAAAAATAATTGATCTTGTTTTATCTGGAGCCTAAAAATTACAGGTTTTAAAAATCTTGAGGAGCTTGAATAAATTGTTTGAAGGTTGCCTGTTTGAGTGGTAAAATGAATGGGACAGAAATTCAAACTTGAATATCACGGGTTTAAAGTTTAAGCTATGTGAGCTTAAGATTAATGTTTTTTTTCCCAAAACTATTTACCTGTGAAAATGATAAATTTGTTGAATAACTTGCCTGATTCTGTGATGTATGCTGTTAAATTATTTGAAACATCTGTGGATAGGTACACATATATCAATGTAAAGTGCTAAATTTAGTTTATGGTTATAGTTTTGGAAGATCAAGGGGTGACTTCAAATACCCTTCACTTCCCATAATTATATGTATGTATTTGATTTATCTTTTAAGTGTATTACTTTTTTAATGGCATTTAATATATATTAAATGCAAAAAGTCTGTAAAATAAAAATAACTGCTTAGTTTCAGCTTACTTATACCAGTTATTTATATATATATATAGTGAGAGAGAGAGCCAATTCAACATCCCATAAAGTGTTCTCTTGTTTAACACAGAGGTTTCAACTACTTTTAATTTATCAAATAACTTTTAGATTTTGACCAAAAATATATTACTTAATACTGACAAGGAATCATCTTTGTAGGTGGCATATTATAAACAAAACAGGTCTATGCACTATTTAAATAATTTATCAAGTTTTTGAATACTATTAATTAGTATGAAATATATCGCAATAAAACATGCTTCTTTTTGGCTTTGAAAAAAAAACAAATCTCAGATCTATCTATCACTATAGTTATCAACAAATATGATTTTTTTATCTGTTATAATCAAATCTAAAAACTTCCAAGTATTAATTACAATTTAACTGAGGCATTAACTGTCAAAGATAAGTTACTGTAACAAAATAGAAAATATACAATGACATTAAAACTTACCAAATTACTATGCCAGAACAAAAGCAAACACAGCACAATTTATTACAAGTACGGTTATTCACAACTTAGCAGAGTAACATGACTGTAGTATTCCTACAGTATCTAACTGTCATCTTGTCATATAATAATAACTAGAGTAAAATGAAAGTTAAAATGCAAGTAAAAAATAAACAGTTTTTAGTGCTGGCAAAAATCACAGCTGTCTTTACTTTCTTCTCAACAGAATGATAATGGCGGACCGATACCAGCTTTCTGTGTAGAAATGCCCGCTGTATTACGTATCCCATAATGGCACAAGTTTCGAGTGTGCTATTTGCATTTGCGCATGTGCCTTAAAACCTGCTTTCTATACACTGTTGTAGAAAAAAAATAATGTTGGAGTGACTACATTAAGGTTTGAATGAACAGAAATGTTTTACTGAATAAAAGGTTTCATGAAGAAATATGTAATATACAAAATGTAACAGCATAACACTTTCTAAAACCATTTTTACAAGTTTCCAGTAACGAATTAACTTAGAATTCATACACTTTTCCAACTCGATACATTAAACTTACAATAACCAAAATAAAACTACTCATGCAATTCCTTGCTGATACATAATTTTTCACGGTGCTTCTACCTAGTGAAACTGCATGTTATAGAAAACATGAACAAATATTAAAACACACATATGCGATATTCAAAACAATTTTTACTCTTATAGTTTAAGAAAAGTAAAATATTCAGAACTTACCAACAGTTATTAAGTGAGAAAGCAATGAAATGGAATGTTTGGAGACGGAAAACTATCCAAACATTTTAAAGCAAGTTCTATTGAAAACAAATTTTTAATACCATATTACTTCCCACTTTTGTCAATCCATGCACTGCAACCGGCAAAACTATCCTTACACATCCATAAGTAATATCACATATAACTGCAATGCTTACCACACGAACAACACAAGCATATCAAGTATAGAAACGTAACTGGTCTATGCTAAAAATTATTCTTAAATTGAATAATCTAATTAAAATGTGATAACATTATCAGAGAAATTCTGTAAGATTGGAACTCGTACAATAATCTCTGTAAACTGATCAAGTTTGTCTTTAAGAATAAGCGATGCGAGGTGAAAAACACATATAGCTATGAAGATTAATGCTAGATTACTATCAACAAACTTCTTATAAGGCACATGTACCACCACAAGATTTCAAAGAACAGCCTGACACAAGTACACCATTCCTCTTCACAAATTTAGTTCATACATGTGCAGTGGACAATGCCACGAGTTCAAATATCTAAGAACCAATCAGCACTTGTGACGGTATCTAGCCAGTTCTAGCACAGGGTCCACAGAACTATCAAGAGGGAACTGAGGAGGTGGCCAAGGCCGACATCTTGAAACTTTTCATTATTCACCTCTAACCTACCACTCATGATACAACCAAAACTATTACCTTTTCTTTTCTAATATGATCTCGAATTTCAACATTATAAAACCGTGAAATGATAAAATATTAAACAATTTTCCGACGAATAATTCTAAATGAACCCATGCTACAAATCCCAACTTTAAGACATTAAAAACTGAAAAGTTACATCTATTTTCAGTTTTAAGAATCTTAAACCTGAAAGCTCTATAATAAATTATCAGGATAACTTTTTTCGCAAACTATAAAAATTAAATTTTTACAACTTTAAGTTATGTAAGCTTATCAAACGAATACTTTGTACAGTTATTTTGATGCAATCGCCAACAACTATAACACGTACATATACACAATAAGTTTATCCGCGAGTCCTCCTTAAATACAAGAATCTGATTTGTGTCTGGTAACACTGAAACACCCAAACACTTCGTGTATGAACGGCATAAGGCCTGAGCGTCCATCTTGCATTACTAGGCAATAGCAAAGTAAAAGACGCAAGTACAATGAAGAAAAACCTACCTTAACGATAAAAGATTTGCTGAACAGGAAAGGGTTAAGGTGAGGAAAAAAAAACAGGTGTGGAGCTGTGCCTCTTCCAAATGCCCCACCATCTAAAGCCCAAGGTCACCTCTTTCAAAGCTCCTTGACTGAGCACTTCTTGCAATTATGTCGCATGCGCACATGTATAGTCTTATTCCTTCAGAAACCTTCCCTAAATCAGAATAAAAAATTCCTAGCAGGCATTAGAAAAATCTCAACTCTTTCCTCTGAGTGGGAGATAGCTAGCTGGCTGGAAAGATATCCAACACAGGCTGCACTTTGACAAGAAAAAAAAAAACTAGTCTCCTCCAACTCATAAAAGAAAAATGTACAGACTCCTGATACGCTGCAGTATACCAAAGACTGGAGTTATGATAAACAGAGACTCTACCATCCAATTGATAATACGAATGGGTGGCTCTTAGGGAGAAGGCGGAGCTAAGGTGTGAACTCCCAGATTTCCTTGTCAGTCTCTCTTCCATTCCATATATGGAGGAATGTAGAACCATTAAAACTTCTGCAAAGGTTATAATACATACACGAAGGTAACATAGAAGCACTATAAGGAAGCATCACATACCCACCTTACACGAAACATTCTATGAGAGTAGTTTTTAACTACAAAGTATTAATAATCTAATATGCCAGAAAATAATTAAATTCATCTACATTTATTTATAATTATAATATAAAAGACTGGAAATCTGAAATACTTCTCATGATTTTTCAATTGCAAGTATACTGCTAGTACAAAATATGTATTAGTATTATGGATACAATGATTCATGTTGAACAATGAATATTTATTGAACACAAACACCAAAATATTCTATGCGAGTTATTATTTTTAACCAATAAACAATAATTTTTCTTACATCTACATAAATTTGTACCAAAGATAAAAAATATTAAGAACAAAATATTTAATTATTACAAGACCTCACTTAGAAGAAAAGAATGTTAAAAAACAACAACACTGATATAACAAGAGCTGTTTTAAATTTTCCAAGAAATGCGAATACATTTTCTACAACTTCATTTGATAACAAACTTAGTCTATGAATAAATTACCCATATTCACTAATACCATGTTTTCACCTTTCACTGAACTCTGGATCTGCAATTAAGCTGCACCTTTATTTATACAGCAACAAACATAACAATAATAATACAAATAATAAAACATGAACAATATGTATCCCAAGGTCACCAAGAACTGAAACACAGATCAAGTAAAGACATTACATATACTTGTGAAGTCAGACCACCATAGCAATAGCAGTATTTGCATTATTTCATACCACTATGGAAATGTATACTATGATAATGATAAAACCCTTTACATTTCCATTACTTTGAATTTCTAAATTTTTAACTAAATACTACTAAACTGATGATTCATGTTATTCTTTCTTAACGAAACTGCCATATTAACTATATTAGATTTGGGTAAATTATTTTTGTCTACACTTATGGAACTCAAACATCTTATTACACAAATATCTATATTGTGGCTTACTTCAAAAGATAAAAAATTATCTATAATCATCACTGAAACCAAATTGAAGAGTTTAAAAATAAAAAAAAAACAACCATCCCAAATAAGCCATTTAGATAGTGCAATCTAAATTACCAGAAAACACAAAGGTTATCTCATTAATACAAGTTAAAATACAAAGGTTTGAAATGCAGAAATAACTGAATTTTTGGGAAAGATTAATACATCTGGTTTAGTAGAATTACTCGGTTGCTTGAGTTGAAACTTATATTTTCAAGGAATCACAGATCATCAGTATTAACAGTTTTTCAAAGATGCCAACTACAAAAAATGAACATGTATCCCCCTTCATGTACATAACAATGAGATTTTCAGTCCTCTCTGCTTCTTCTACAAACTTGTGCATGAAAATAAGTTCACTTTTAGTACATCAAAGCTACTACTACTACAAAGCTACAAAAGGAAATGTGAAAATGATAACAGCGGCACCTACTGGTAACAAAAGTATTCACTAGGAAATTACCTTATTTCTGAAGTTCAGATATATTAGACAAGGTTTTTATCATATGTTCTTTCTATAAAAGCAACAAACATTATTCAAAACAAAACAAAAATTTCATCTGTTTTCTTACCTGTACATACTTTTCACATTAACAAATATTAGTAATGTTATTATAAGAAAATGAATTTCAGTTGTGTATGCTATGTCAGGCACATTTACAATATACATTTTAAATCAAATGATGTAACATTAACTATCACATCTACTTCATTCAATTAAATTTTTGCTGTAAAAATTATTTCTGAAAATTTGCCTTACTTAGAAAAACAAAAGAAATACACTCTGTAATCTTTATTAATATTATTACTCACTTTATTTAATTATTTATATTTCATACCTATGGTACTATTTTATACTTGGATCTTAGTTTATACTTGTGTGTGTGTGGGTGGGGGGGGGGAGACAGACTTTTTATGAGGCAAGTATGACATATCTGATATGTTAAAGCTTTATATTATCTGTTATTTAAAGCTCATTAAACTTTAAAATGAATGCTTTTAAGGATGTATTTTTCACCTAATTTACAAAATTTTAGAAAAGGCCAAATGTAGGGGTATCAGAAGAGTGTACGATTTGAGAAAAATGACACAAAATGTGTATTTTGCTGGCCTATTGACGCTGGTATTGGGGGCTAAAATTTCATCTCCCGAAAATACCTTGATAAAGCCCGAGTGAACAATAGATCCTAGCTAACAGAATGGTTTGTGTGCTTATTTCTACAGGAATGAAGCTTCAAAATGTATTGATGGATTAAGGCTATTAGCTAAGATTTAGTATTTTATTCAATATTAATTTGAGTTACAGTAAAAATCACATTTTCTCATAGATCACATTTATGATTGAGATGTAGTTTTATTCTTGTATATGTTTCTTGCACTTTAGATAATAAATATTTGATATATATTTATATAAATGTGTATCTAAAAGGCACTGAAAAACTTAAAACATTTTTTCATAGTATATACTGATGAAATGTTACACTTCCATAAGAATGGTCATAAAATAAGAATTTGAGATACTTCTTTTACATATTTTTACAAGTTCTGATATTTCACTAATTTATAGTTGAAATATTTTGAAAATAAAATTAATTTCATGGATACAAGGTTAATTCAAATACAAAATATAAATAAAACAGGCCCTAAAAAGATTTTAACCAAATAAAGTTTGTATAATCCAACCTTAGTCAGAGGCTAGACATTTCCTTTTTTTTTCACAGCTTTAACTAATGTAAAACATTGCACATCATAATCATCCAATGTTTCGCTTCTGACATTTATTTTGTATTTTTTTAATAAGCTATTCTAGAAATTTTAAGTTGTCTGAAAATATTTAAGAAAACAGAGTTCAAGATCAACATTGGTTGTTTCTTGAGCTGGTTTGATCTATTAACAGTTTTTCACAAATTCCACCTCTTGTGAAGCTAATTTATTGTCACACTAACAGCCACAAAATATTACAATGAATAACATGCTAAAAAATTAAACAATGTCTCTTATTATCAGAGACACTGAAACACAGTGTTTTTGTCACTGACATTAATTTTACCAAATCACTGATATATGACATCACAAAAACTGGCAACTCAATTTTATATTTAATCATTCCTTATAAAATCAATTAATAGTTAAGTATCAACACAAATACGTAATGCTTAAGACTATTTATACTAGCATTTATTTAAATAAATTTTAAAGTACATACAGCATTGCTGTAATCATATCACTTCAAGTATAACCCTTAAAATTGCCTTTAAAAGTAAAATCGCTTTTCATTTTTAAGAACAAATTCAAATTAGCAGAAATTCGTAAAAATCACAAAAATCTCATGAACAATTATAACTTAAATCAGTTAGTCCTATTAATAGCACTAATTAGGCCTAGAGTAGTAGCAAAAAGAGCAAGACCTTACTTTTTTTTTTATTTTAAGACTTATTCTTAAGACAAGTTACTTAACACTTTATGACCTAAACCAAGCATAACATCTTTTAACAGCTTAGCAGCTAACATTTGATCTAAATAAAAACAGTACTCAATAGGAAGATATTCTGGACATTAAGACACTTTGGAGAAACTAGATACTGATATTCTATCGTACCCGTGAGTGACCCCGATATACTATTACTCAACTATTGAACTAGGCTTATCTATCCATGGCTGGAATTTCAAAATTAATATGATTTTGTTTTCATGCCTCTAGGTCTGCTGTTATACTGCAAATAACGCGCATTATAGATATTGCTAACTTAGGTACAAAAGTAATGATCGATACGAAAACAAAAGAGCAAAATACTCGTAAACAAAGTAAATTTTTCAATACATGTGCAATATCACTAACGTTACGATTACAATGAATGTATTGATATAACGCCCTCTTCAATTATTTTTTCATAAGTTTATTTTGATGAAAATTATTCTTTTAACGTTCAATATTTCGAAGGTTTTAAAAAATGTATAGAATAGATTCGAATAGTACAAATAATCAATAACATGCATTTTACAAGGACTAGGAAATAATGAAAAATTACAAAAATATCTGCTTTCCTTCAACACTTAGGTATGAAGAACCTAATAGCAATTTTGGAATTATCATTTGAAGATATATTTATATTCTGAGTTTATACGTATCAAAAAGTTGAACTTAAGATCACGCATGAATGTTACTTTGAAATAATCAAGAATATTAAGTGTCATTCAACACAAGCTGCAGAATTAGTAAACTAACTTTAACATTTTTATCAGTATGCACAGTCCGAATTTCACAAATGATGCATGTATTTAAATATGTGTCTTACATTACCTTCAGTTTTGCTGAAGGTTTATTTGTTTTAGACCAAAGCTAAACAATGAGATATATACGCTCTGTCCACCAAGGGAATCGAATCTCGGTTTTTAGAATTGTAAGTCCGTACACTTTCCGCTAACCCACCGTAGGACTTTAGTGAAGCATACACCGTAACTATGTTCATAACATGGAGATGGTTTTGTATCTTTATTAATATTTATTCTGGCATTGAAATGCGTTTAACAATACAATGACATATGTGATCAAAATTTGGTTAATTTGACAGTGTATTTTTATATAAAAAAAAAAATTGTCAAACAATATGTAAAAGTCTACAATATTTCAGAGCAAAACAATTAACTTTATCTGTCTTTGTTTCAAGTTCATTTTCAAGAGTACCCTACACGAAATTTTAAGCTTTTCTCACGCTGATCACAAACTTAAACTTACCTAGATAAGACACTAATGCAGTAAACCTA